AAGAAATAAGTCAAGGTTGCTTTCTTCTCGTTCATTTCTAACCAGAGCACTTTTTTAAGGGTTGGGACAGCTTTTGAAAAAATGAAGGCGAATTTTAATATTAGCAGGGCCCGAATCAACACATGCTTTGTAGTCATTAAAATGCAAAATATTAGTTAAAATTCATGTCAATAACAATAGCAATAAAAAGCCTCGACTGTTTTCTACTAATTATTCATTTTCTAGATTTTTTTTCATGATAAATTTTAAATTCCAGGACAATCAACAAGTCTGACAAAAGATTTGGTGGAGGAAGGAATTTTAAAATTACAGAGCATTCTTGGTTTGTCTGTATTAATGGAAGGAGTCAGAGAAAAGATAATCCTAAAAGGGATGCAAGAGTTTTTAAACATAGGGACGCCTGGGTGGCTCAGTCGGTTAAGCATCTGCCTTTGGCTCAGGTCATGATCCCAGAGTCCTGGGATCGAGTCCCGCATCGGGCTCCCTGCTCCGCGGGGAGCCTGCTTCTCCCTCTGCCTCTGTCTCTCATGAATAAATAAAATCTTTAAAAAAAAAAAAAAGAGTTTTTAAACATAAATTAGATTTTTCTGGTTTGTGACTTAGACTAGATTTGTAAAGCACCAAATTGTAATTTTGCTTCTTTTTCTTTAAAAAAATGTTAGTAGTCACTTATGTAACTTTATAGGAAAAATTAATATATGAGGATGCATTTATATTAGTTTAAATTTGCTTCTAGTTTGTATATATACAGATATGGTTCTGAATAGTTGTAATCAGGGTGATGTCTCTGTGTGTCCACTCCTTTCATGTACCATATTTTATATTAACATAACCCATGTGCTTAATTTAACATTTTTTGAAAAACATAAGAGGACTCTAATACCTTTGCACTTCGGTATAATTTTGAATGGTTCTTTCTGCTACCATTTTCTTATTTTGAATAACATACCTTATTTGGGGGTACTTAGGTTAATTCTCTTTTTTCCCACCCTTAAAATAGAAGTACTATGAAACTCTTTATGAAATTGCTTTGTCCTTTGATTCCTTGGAGTGTAATGAAGATAAGCAAGGTCATTCATTAGGTCAAAAATATGCATGGTATTATGGCTCTTTTTACAACTCTATTCCCAATTTATTTCCTAGAACGGTGGCTTTTCAGTGGATGGGGAGAGACTATGTGTAGTTTGAAAAAACATACTCAAATTTTAGTTGAATTTTATATTTTAAAATTATTATTTCATAACTCAAGCTACAGAAAACAAAACATGAAATTTTGTTGGAGAAGAGGAAGTACATGGTTCAGAAACACTGCTCAATGAAGACTGAAACAATTGAAAAAGCTTCAGCTTGTATTTATTTTTTTCCTTAAAAACTTTTATTTATTTTGAAATTAAAAACGTTTTTACTGAAGTATAGTTAACATGCAGTGTTAGATTAGTTTCAGGTGTACAGTATAATGATTCAACAGTTCTATACATTACTCAGTGCTCCTTACGATAAGCGTACTCTTAATTCCGAAAACAGAGACTGAGTGACTACGGAGGAGGTGGCACAGAAGTGCCCTAGGTGAGTGCAAGAACCTAGCTTGACTTTGCAGAAATTGCCATCAAGAATCCCAATAAGGTGTGGGCATTCTTTTTGCATTTTAATCAGTCCACCTGTAACTGTAACGTTCTTACAAATCACCCGGAGATCTTGTTAAAATACCGATTCTGATTCAGTGGTTCGCGGGCAAGGCCTGAGACCCTGCATTTCTAACAAGTTCCCAGGTGATGCTGATATTATTACCCTGGCAATGTAATTTGGATGGCCCCTTTTTGGATCTCTTGCATCTATGACCATAGGGTAACGAGAATTGAGTACAGGGGATTCTCGGTCAGTGACTTCAGTGACTTGAAAGTGGAAGAGATGAACTACTGGTTTATTTGAGGGGTGAAGCGATTCTGCTCATTCAGAAATCTGAGGGGCGGGGGAGTAGGAAATTGTTAATATTAGATGGGTTAATCACAAGAAGTTTTAGGTGCCACTGACACCAGGTTGTTCAGAGACTGAGGGAGGTAAGGGCTTTTGAAGTGGTACTCAGGTTCCTGCTGCTTAACTGAAAGTGAGATAAGATCAGATTCGTTAGGAAACAATTTTCAAAACAGACTCATTTATTTTGACTAAATGAGGCTGAATGATAGTAGGGAGATAGATTCTTTGTATTTTTAGAGACTCGCTGTTTTAGAAAGTGAAAACTGGTTGCTTACGATTTTGCTTGCATCGTCGCTGAGATTTTAAATAATGCATTTCCACATCACCTTTAATGATACTGAATTGCTGCCATTAATCGCTTCCCAGAGGGAAATTGGAACGAAGGACCTATGCTATTTCTCTGCTTCTATCTCCATTTTGCTATGTGACTTTAAGACAATCACTTAAAGCTTTAGGTTTCGAGTTCCCATGGTGAAAAATGGAACTCAAAGCCCTCACCTTGTTCCCTGTAGAGTACTTACTGTAATCAGTGGGCTTTGAGGTAGATTTTGTTGCTTAAAAAAATAAGACTTTAACAATGTAATATTATATTTTTATTTAGCATATTATATATGCATATATCAAGCTATTTTATGTATGATCTAAATATGCTGGCAAACCTTCATAACAAAAATGAAACATTTCCTATAATCACACCAGCAATTAAATTGAATTTTTTTGGTTTCACAAATTGAATGAACCTGATCATAGTGTTTCAGATGTATTTTTTTGTCCTTTAGATAATCAGTACTGATGGATATTGATTAAAGATTCAGTAATTTAATGCACATTTTTAAAAAGATTTATTTATTCATTTGAGAGAGAGAGTGTGCGCGCACGCATGCAAGTGGGGGCAGGGGCAGAAGGAGAGAGAGAGGGAGATAGAGAATCTCCAGCAGACTCCTAGCTGAACACAGAGCCCAACGCAGGGCTCAATCCCATGACCCCAAGATCATGACATGAACTGAAACCAAGAGTTGGACATCCAACTGATTGAGCCACCCAGGTGCCCCTACTCCACATATTTAAAGACTTTGAGTTCTAAAGGGAATTGATGGTAAGTGAGGTCAATTACTTGAGGATGACCCTCTGTTTGGAATGCTTTAGAATCATCTGTTCTTTAAAGTTTAAATACATTTGTTTTTACCAAAGTTTAACATGTATTCTAACCAAGGATCTATAGTGACCTAAACTTGTGCCTAAGAATAACAATCAGAAAATGTCTAAAATAAAACTGTGTTGATCCAGAGAATCTGATCCATACTCCTATTCATAATTTGAAATAATTCAGAACAAAGTTTACCCTACTTTTCTATGAAGTAAACGTTTCTTAGGCAGATTATAATCTACATCCATTATAGTATGGGGACCAAGAGCTAGGGCTCTAGAGTTAAACAGGCCTGATTCAAATCCCATCTTTGTTGCTTGATCTCTAGTGTGGTTCTCGTTACTTAGCTTCTCAAAGTCTCAGTTTCCTCATCTATAAGATTAATTTTACAATATAAAGCTCACAGGATTGTCGTGGGGTCCAAAAGAGATAATAATGCATGTGCTATGGACTGAATTGTGTCCTCATCAAATTCCTGTGTTGAAGCCCTAACCCACATTGCGGCTGTATTTGGAGATAGGCCTTTGGAATATAGTTAAGGTTAAATGAGGCCGTAAGGGTGGGGCTCTAATCCAATAGGATGGGTAGCCTTATAAGAAGAAGAGAGTCTCTCTCCATGCACACACAAGGAAGAGGTCATGTGAGCTCACAGCAAGATGGTGGCTGCCTACGAGCCAAGAGAAGAGGCCTCAGAATGAAAGCTATGTCGCTGGCACCTTGATCTTGGACTTCCAACCTCCAGAACTGTGAGAAAATAAATTTCTTTTGTTTAAGCCACCTGCTCTGTGGTATTTTGCTGTGGCAGCCAAAGCAAACTAATACAGCATCTAAAACTCTTGGCATCAATTATAGTTGTACAAGTATGCTTACACACTGAGTGATGGTGGAGAATGTTTACCCCAAAGGACAAGCTGCTTTCAAGTACTTTAGCAGGAGTCTTTTCTGAAAAATTTTATTTATTTTTGAGAGAGTAAGAGAGAGAGAGAGCAAGCAGAGGGAGGAACAGAGGGAGAGGGGCAAGCACATTCCGTGCTGAGCGCAGAGCCAGGCTCGGGACTTAATCCCATGACCCCAAGATCATGACCTAAACTGAAACCAAGAGTTGGATGCTTAACCAACTGAACCACCCAGGTGCCCCAGGAATTTTTTTAATTCAAATTTCTATTCTTACTATATTATACTGTAAAGTAACTATAATAGTAATATTATAGAAATATAGTATTATATTTATTATATTTATAATTAATATTATTATTATTTCTATTAAGTGGACCTGATAGTACCTTTTCCCAGTAAAATATTTTTCACCTAAAGGCTCTATATGTACTTAAAAGTAATATGACCACACTTTGGGGACACCTGGGTGGCTCAGTCAGTTAAGCGTCTGCCTTCAGCTCAGGTCGTGATCCCAGGGCCCTGGGATCCAGCCCCGCAATGGGCTCCCTGCTCAGCGGGGAGTCTGCTTCTCCCTCTGCCTGCCACTCCCCCTGCTTGTGCACTCTCTCTCTCTCTGACAAATAAAATCTTTAAAAAAATGACTACACTTTCTTCAGTCTATTTAATAAACCATGATTTTTACTAATTACAACACATCTCTAGTTTCTTTCTGTCCAGTCTCTCAACTAGACAAATCCTTAGGAGTGTGAGCTCCCATATTTTAAAAAAGGGAAAAGATAAAGAAGGCTCTCTAAAAACTGTGATTAACCAGATATAATATGCAAGCAAGTTAGATCCCCCAGGTTTTTCTTCCTGTGAATGCAGTGGTGCCATATATGTGTGTCCCAATTATGTAACATTTATGTGGAATAGTTAAGCTCAAATTTAGAGCATCTGTTGTTCTTTTGGATTGTTTCAGTAATTGAAGTTTATTCTTTCACAGGTATCAAGGTTACATTTATACATACCGAGTGTCCCAGACAGAAACAGGTTCTTGGAGTGCTGAGGTATAGCTTTTTTATTATTTTTTGCTTCTGGGGGTATCAGGGAGGTGTTTGAAATTTAAGCTGGTTTTATAAAAGAGTTGTCAAATCCTACTTTCCCCAAATATTCATCAGATTCAAATCACTAAAGCTCCAACCCAAAATTATTCATAGGTCTTAAGAAGGCTTTAGAGAATTTTTGTCCCAGTTCTGTTCAGCCACCATTGTATAGAATGGTCTCACTTTGGGGAAAATATAAAAAAGTTGAAGGATTGTGTCAAACTTTTAGTGCCTATGCAAAATTTTAGAAAGCATATACAAAATGTGTATTATGGTTAAATAAGCAATTATTTACCAAATGATACCAATATGAGCATTGGATCAATGGTGGATTAAACAATATGACTCCTGTTTTCTAAGAGCCTCTATCTAATACCCCTGGGGAGATACAACATGAATTCAAGAGCGATGTGAGAGCTCAGAGTTTGTCGTCAAGTAGATCTGGGTTCCAGGTCTGGAACCCCCTCCTCCCTGACAGGTCTGTGAACTTGGGCAGGTTACTTAACTTATCCCTGAACAAATTTCTTCATCTGTAAAATGAGCCTAAAAATAGTGCCTTGCTCATAGGGTTCATTTTGAAGATTAAATGGGATAATGCTTATAAAAGAAAGCTCTTAGCTACAGGACCTGGTACATAGTAAGCCCTCAAAAATGTGAACTCACCCAAACTGCTGGACAATGATTTTATGTAGTCAATTGCCATGTTATCTAGCATAGGAGTTCAAAGAAGGGAAGATTTTCCAAGGATTAGTAATCAAGATTGCTCTTTGTGTGGAGGCAGACTCCTAGCTGGGCCATGTGGGAAAGACAAGGGTAGGCAGAATAAAATTAGAGGGAACATTGCAGTGGTTTTAAAGGTACGCTCTCCAAAATTCTAAAGTTCTTCCAACTGGCTGCCATGGGGCAGCCGGGAGTGGGGGTCAGAGGGAGAGGGGGACAAAAGTGGATATGCTTTTGGGTGCCCAATTCATCTTTGATCCGAAAGGTTCACCTTTGTTTTGCTTATCAGCTGGGGCTCGGATAGGATTTCATTAGAAAAATGGGCTCTGATGGCTTTGAAAACATTTGAAAGTCACTATACCGTTGCAAGTAATGCCCACAGAGCGAATTTATTTCCATGTACCAGGGTAGGATATCACATCTTACCAATGTAGAGGTCTCTACAACTGAAACCTTTGACCTCAAATGCTTTCTCAGATTTCTGACTCTTTAAAAACAGCCTGTCTTTATAATGAAAGCACTTTATTATGAGGTGTTTGAAAACATAAATGCAAATATCAACCTCTGTTAATAACTCAGTCTATGCGCTTAAGAAATACTAAAGTCTAGACTTAAAAAAAATTAAAATAGCTCTAACCTTTACAAATTCATCAGTAAACTAGAAAGCCCAAGTTGCAGACTACAGATGTTTTAAACTACAGAGATGAATTAGGGCAAGTTTTCAAACATGTTGCTTTATATCATAAATAAATAATTCATTAATAATAATTAATAATAATTAATTACTTTATAATTATCACAGATAATTAATACTGTGATACTAATTAGAGGCAAAGCAGTAACATTTCTAATCAAAACGATTTACACCCGTTTATATTTTAAAATTCTCTGCAGCACTGCAGAGATGATTGAATCAGAAATTAAATTTCATTTATCATGAAGAATAGTTGTTTGTGATATATACATATATATTTGTATATACTTTGATTAGAAATAGGCTTTCTCCCTAGAGAAGTAGCCTTCGGCTGCTGAAGAATATTCTTTATGGAAAGGGCCTCAAATTATTAGGGTTTAGCTAATCTTGTCTTTAAATTTGTTTTCTTCTATTTCAAGTATAATATCATATGCCGATTGTTACATGCTTGTGATCATGTTAAGGAAGAAAGGGCTTATTGAACATAAATGTCCTTTCATCCTGTTGTCTGGCCTGACCCCATATTGTAATTATCTGCACCAAGAGAGCAGAAGATTGGCATGTTTTCTCCAAAGGGAAAACAGTTTTTAAAAAATGCCTTAGATTTATTTTTGAAATGCATATTGCATTTTTTCTATCTACTAAATTTGCTTTCTTAGTTATGTTTTTTTGTTAAGGGAATATTAAACTAGTGTGTGTTCTCAGAGCTCATATCACCTGACTGGAAGAAATTTCTCCAGAGCATATTGAAGACCAGCTGTGATCCAAAACATGTTTCCATGGATAACTAAGAGATGGCAGTATGGGAAATGTGCAAATTTGAACAATAGCTGAGTTCAGTGACAGAATGGGAGTTGTCAGTGGTACGATTCTTGTGGTAAATGTATTTTCAAAATTGGTTAAATGACAGATATTTATACTGCTTTTTGGAACAGTGCTTTAGTTTGCCACACAGCAGGAAAAATCAATGAAATTTTAACTCTGGATCCCCCAAATTATGAAAGACAAATATTATGTGAATATCTACTTTTAGATAGACTTTTAGGTTTTATCATTGCCTAGTGTATTAACTTATCTCATGAGACTCAGGCTAAAATTTTGCTAAATTGTGAATTTAGAGAATTCTATACACAGTCAACTGTCATTTATTGATATGTGCATTGTCATCAGTATATTGTAAAAAAAAAAATGTACTAGGGTGCCTGGGTGGCTCAGTTGGTTAAGCGTCTGCCTTCGGCTCAGGTCATGATCCCAGGGTCCTGGGATCGAGCCCCGCGTCGGGCTCCTCAGTGGAGAGCCTGCTTCTCCCTCTTCCTCTGCCACTCTCCCTGCTTGCGCTGTCATGCTCTCACTCTCATTCTATCTCAAATAAATAAAGAAAATCTTAAAAAAAAAAAAGTACTAAGCTCCCCCTGTGGACTTCAGTGCCTTTGGGCTTTTCTGGATATTTGATCATCAGTAGATCAGTAGATGCTAAATAACTTTACATATTAACCTAAGCAAAACACTGTAAATTAGGATAGTCATTTGCCAGTGAAACATTGTATCCCATGTTCAAATTGTACATCCAGTGCTATTATTCCTTTCTGTTAGTGTGGATAATCAAGCGTTAACTGCATGTTAAGTCCCCATAAAAAAGATGTTTCTGTTGATAAATGGTTTTACAAGCCACAAGAACAGCTAAAAAGATGTGTGGTTTGAAATCTTTCCACACTGGGGGAGTGTACAGTTTCTCTTCTGGTTGGTGACTCTAACTTCTCTAGAAACTGTTTGGTCTTACCCTCTCTGTTGGTGAACTCATTGTGGGTATTGACCTGAACAACAAAAGACTGGGTGCTGGGATCTAGAGCCAGTTCTGCTTCTGATTATCTGTGTGACCCTGGGCAAGCTGAATTATCCCTTTGTATTTCTTTTTCTTTTTTTAAGTAGGCTTCACGCCCAGCGTGGAGCCCAGTGCGGAGCTTGAACTCACAGCCCTAAGATCAAGACCTGAGCTGAGATCCAGAGTTGGTCGCTCAACTGACTGAGCCACATAGGCACCCCTGTATTTCCATTTTCTTATCTGTCAAATGGGAATAAGCAAATCAGCAGATCACTGCCAATTTGTGAGGAAATAGTGGAGGCAAATGACGGGAAAGTGCCTGGAATTGAAAAAGTACTGTGAGGAAGATATAAGGAGGTATTTTGTGCCTATGACCTGCCCATGCCATTTAGAGATTCTGTCTTGGAGCCAAAGAACTGTTTGGAGCCCTGTAAGAATGGCCATGGTATTTTGGATGAGGTCTCAAGTCGAGTTCTGGGAAGGTTTTTTTTTTTAAAGATTCAGTTCTTTATTTTAGAGGGGGGTGGGGAGGGGCAGAGGGAGAGGGGGAGAGAGAGAGAATCTCAAGCAGACTCCCTGCTGAGCACAGAGCCCAGTGCAGGGATCCATGCTGGTTTCGATCCCCATGGCCCTGAGATGCTGACCTGAGCTGAAACCAAGAGTCCGCCGTTCAACTGACTGGGCCACCCAGGTGCCCCCAGTTCTGGGAAGGTGTTTTGACCATAGGGGTGGAGCTGAGAGAGAGAGTGTTCTACATCTACTGAGGCTCTGGACTCTGTGAGCCTCCCAGTAGACACTAATTTAAAGCTAAAAAGAACTTTTTCAGTGCTTTCAAAAAAAAAAAAAATACTTGCCCCAATGTAGGAAATGACTGTGAGTTACTATGGACAGCGTGCTGTCCTCAGCTTTTCGTCTAGTTGGCTGAAGTTTGCTTGCCAGCCTTCATGTTTTCTCATTAAATGCTAACAAACAAACAGCTCCCACCTCAAGAATCTTCCAGATGGAATAGCTGAAAAACAGCTTTCAAAAAAAAACCTAGTCATTGTTCAATTGCTTATAGCAATACTATTTTATTTTATGTAAAATGACAGTTTTGAGCTGATGCCTAAAGCTGGGCTCATAAGCTTTTGCAGGAAATTGTTATTTTCAGCAGTGCCTTTGCAACAGAATTGATGTCAGGAAAGGAATACATTTTAATAGTCACTTGCAAATAATGATCTCTTAAAAGCAAACAAACAAATAAATAAAGGTGACCTTATATAGTCTTTCATTTTCGTGTCATAGAGAAAACCTTGTCACGGTGAGGTGTTGGCAGAGAGCAATTTTGGGGAGGATAGGGAAGTTTCCCGAGGAGGAAAAAATTCAATATGAAGGATGAGGCAGGACGTATGGTGAGGGGAGAGTCTGGGGACTAACTAGCTATGTGTTGTGTATATCATAACGGTCAATTTTTAATTTCCTGCATAGCATTTTTACTGTGGAATGATGACTGGGAGGCTAGGCTGCTGTTGTTGGTTTGTTTTTTCAGTCTTTTTATTAATGACCTGTACGATCTGTGTTTTTTCTGTGTTTAACTGCATCTTCTCTGTTGGTGCATTCATTGTGGGTAATGGCCTGTATACCCTTAGAGGCTCGGGATGTGTGATGGGTAGCAGGCAGGAAGGGCAGGAGCTTGTACAAACTAATACCACCCTTGGGAGAACTGAAATGACAGCTCATTAGCTCCTCTTGCAGGGAAGTTCAGCCAACCAAAGTAAGCTCTGCTAGAAATGTTGTTTTTCCTTCTTCCTTATGTTTTCAAATATTTGAACAAGTTATACAAATGTTACCGATCTAAGCCTCCCTCACACATTTTGTAGGCCTATTTATATCATTCGGAGGTAGGTGAATAATTTGCTTGGCCTTTTATTTTCCAGACAGCACCTGGGGTTCATAAAAGATTTTTCCGGAAAATAAAAAATCTCATTTCAGCATTTCAGAAGCCAGATCAAGGTATTGTAATACCTCTGCAGTATCCAGTTGAGAAGAAATGCTCAGTTAGAAGTGCACAAGGTACTACAGGTATGGTTCACTGTCCATTTTCGACAGGGCTTGGCAGCTCGGGGTTATGAGTCAACCTGTTCATAAATATAAAGTTATGGGAAGTTCGGTAAGCAACATGCAGTGGGGAGGTAGGTGTTGCCAGCCAGTCGAGCGAGGGGGTACTATTCACAGGTTATGATTTCAATAGGCTCCACTGTAAACTTTTAATAAAACTCCGGGAAAATAAAAAGAATTCGATGAGCCCACAACATTTAAACCCCTCTTTTCCGTCTTGTTCTCCACCATGTCCCTTTTGTCAACACCGAAGTACCATTTCACTTCACTAACTTAGACACAAAACGTTTGAAGGATGGAATAGTTCCGACAACACCTGGGCCGTCCTTCACCTTTGCTTAGTAAACGATACTTTCTTTCCCTTTAGGGAAGGAAAGGCTAATGTTAGCGTGGCCCACGTGATCCTCATTTCTGAATTTGTGGTGCTTGAATTAATGACATTTTATTGGAGCGAAGGAAACTAAATTAGTACACGCTATTATGCTACAGGCACACGTTGTCCCATCTCCTGAGCGAAGCTATTTTAGTGTATGTATCAAGCTGACGACAGAATACTGGTCAATATCTGCAGCTATGTGATTGTCTATTCATCTACTGAAAGGGGTTAATCACTTGTTTGGAGTAAGAGGCTATGCCTTGATTGAAACAATAAATATTTATGATTAGAAAAATGAGTTGTTATGTCCCTTTTTGACAGGGACCCAGGCTGAGGCATAAACTGACAATTAGACTTAAGTGCTGAATTAAATTAATGAGTAGTTAGCCTTTATAATAGAGATATAAATAGAACTCCAATTTACAAATTACACATTACAATTACAAACTGTTCCTTCTGCTCCGTATTCCATTCTTTATAACTCAGTTTTAAGTACTGGTTGCTTGAGCTGTATCACCGGGTTATATCTTTGTGAGCTTTATGCCGTTGGAAGTTTTATGATTATAAGTTCGAGTTAACCTGCAATTTTAATAGCTTGTAAGTTTATCTTTTCTTGATTTTCGTGATTATTTTTCTTTAGGGAGAAGAGAAGATCCTGATGTGTTCCTGAAAGCACCATGAAGAAAAATCAAATACCTTGTACTTTATTTTCTATAATTTAAATCTATGCTAAGTCTTATATATTGTAGATAATACAGTTCAGTGAGCTACAAATGTATTTCTAAAACCATCATAGTCCCGTAATGGAAGTCTCTAGCATGATGTAAAAGCTGAAATGGACTTTGCCGGTAATGAGGCGCTTTGAAATGAGGTTATTTTCAGTGTTATTTACAAATGGGAAACGATTTAAAACATAATGGTACTTTAGAAAAGATTAATGTCAATTCTTGCCAAATATAAATAAAAATAATCCTCAGTTTTTTTCTCAAAATCACCATTTTTTAGTGAAATATTATTTGACAGCTACTGATTTTAAAATGTCTTGCTTGATTAGATGGCAGGAAGCCGGTTCGTGTCCCTCGTCTTTGTCATTAGGTATTACGCTCTCCACTGGCTATGGTGGTGTAGGGTCTTTGGGGATTTATGAAGTTGTGCACTGTGTGTTAAGACAAGTACTGGATAAAGAGGGAAGAATTTCTGTTTAATTCTAAAAGCAACCTTTTCGCCTAGTGTCCTGAAGTTGGATAGCAGAATCCACAGACCAATCTGGAGGTTAAAAATCCCGTAATTTAAAATACGCTCTAAATGTTGATTACATTTGATATTACAGGATTTTTCATCTACCTCTATCCCAGTTGTTGGTACTCCACGTAAAACCTTATTTTGAAAGGAAACTTCAGCAGCTGTGCTCCTGAGTAGCTGATTTACAAGTGATCTCCCTATTAGGTAGCCCTATGGGAGCCCTGAAAACCTTACAGTTGTGTTGTTTTTTAACAATTCCAAGCGACGGCAACCTAAGTGAGAGCCAAGATTTTACACAGTGACCGATATTTATATTTTTTCTCACATGTATATTTTCATGACTTTTGTGATTTGATTATATATCAAGTTGTTTCGGGGCTCCTAGAATTCACTCACTCAACAAACACAGTAGGCACTGGGGTAGAGAAGTAAAAACACCCAGCCCCTGTGCTCAGGCAGCTCGCTCTCTAGTTGGACAAGAAAACAGTAACAATTAAAAAAAAGTAACAGAAAAAGAGCAAAAGATGTCAATAAAAGGTGATAAGCACATGCTAAGTGAGGTTCCCACTGTGTAGGTGGATCTGTTGTTAGAGGCAGAATGAGTCAAGACAAATACTCTGGTCCGTGGTCCATAGGAAAATGCTAAGTTCTGTTATAAACTAATAAATTGGAATTCTGGGTTGTACACGAGTCGGGGTGAGCTTGATGAACTGCCAAGAGACAGAGCAACTCTCCGTGCACTGGCAAGATCTGGTGTCTGAGCATTTAACATGGATGCAGTGCGAGTGCCGACGTGGAGTTGGGCCATTTACCATTTCTAGAAATAAAGGCATCACTTTAACTTGTGAAGGAATTCAGAAAGCTAACTTTCAAAACAAAATGCGTATGTTTAGATAATTTTTCCTTTTTTGTAGCTTGGGTTTAAATTTTAATAGGTGTAACTAATTTTCATTCTCTCTAGCTTGTTCATTCTGGAATAATCCTAAATACATGAATTATGTTTGCATGTTTCTTTACCAGAGTCTTTTTTGAAAAAGCTTTTTTGAATCATTAATGGTCTTTCATATTTCAATAAAATATTTGAAAGCTTTATTTACCTAATTTGTCTTAAAATATTTTAAAAAAATATTCAGAGATAGGTGCTATGAATATATTAAACAAAGCATTGATGAAAGCCATCTTATCTTATTGGACAGATCCCTGAAAAAGGTAAGTGCTTTTTTCTGGGTCTGCTACTGTCAAACTTTCCAGTTGATGTGCCTACCCACTGTCTTCTTTTGCTGGCCTTTTACTCATAAAGTTTTTTTCACTTTTTCTCTCCCAGCATAAGCATTCTTGCTATTTCCCAGTACATAATAGCTTGCGGCTTTACAGAAAGGTCATATTCTTGCCATATCTAAAATATTGCCATGCTAACATATACCTGTAAGATGCTGAGTCAAGATAGAAAAATGCACATATATTTCCAAGTGTACCCCTTTCTTCAGAAAAAAAAAGTGTGTCAGCAAGCCCACAAGAACATGACAGTTTATCAAACACTCATTCATTTCCTCTGAGTTTGTTCTTAAGAGATAAGGTCAGTAAGGGAGACAAGCTTAGGTAATTGTCAGTTTGGCTATTACAAGCAAGTAAGCTTTGTGGTAGTACATAGGTAGAAGAAGTCTACAGAGGATGCCTCTGATTAAGACTTCTAGTGTAAATGGAGGGCTGGATTGAAGATATTTGTGGTAGAGCGGATAGAGAATTAAAAATGTGAGAAATAGCTTTAAAATCTGTTAAGAAGGTTTGGACATCAGCTCATGTTTTATTTGATTCACTTTATTGAGTTCAGCCAGAGTCTATTAATAATAAAATCCAGATTTGCCCTTGAGCATTTCAAGGTTACAAGATACCTAGTCTTCCTGTTAGAGAGCTATAAATCCAACGTTGTCGCCTATGTTTGTCCTTGTAGTAAATGGGATACCATTAATTTAGGGTTTGCAGCTAGGGGTGAAGTTAAACTACCCACTTTGGAAACGTTCATCATTTGGGGTCATTGGCCAAACTTGTGGCAAAAGGCAGAATTTTCATCATTAGATCGTTGGCCTCTTAAATGAGTATTTTTATGTAGAAAGATACAACAAAACCGATTGACTGGAGAGAGCCCATCAACATAATATTTGAGATTTGAATTCTTTTTTTTAAGATTTTATTTATTTATATGAGAGAGAGAGAGACAGCGAGAGAGGGAACACAAACAGGGGGGAGAGGGAGAAGCAGGCTTCCCGCGGAGCAGGGAGCCCGATGCGGGGCTCGATCCCAGGACCCTGAGATCATGACCTGAGCCGAAGGCAGACGCTTAACGACTGAGCCACCCAGGTGCCTCGAGATTTGAATTCTTTCAGCTTTGTCAGATTATCCATGTGACCTTAGGTAAGTCAGTCTGTTACTCTTATTGCATTTGCCAAGTAGGAACAATGAAGTCTTGCTCACCTCCCAGGATTATTGAGGTACTAGAATTATATAAATTTGAGGAAGTAATATTGCTAAAAATTTAAGTAGCACTGATATTCAAAGATCTCTAATAATGAGGGTGAGTAGGGAGGGAATATGGAGAAATCTGTTCTCTCGTTTAATGATTCTATGTAGGAGCTCTTGCCTCTTTTTGCACACTGAGGGTGGGGTAGGATGGCTATTTTAAAAAAATGACTAGGTGATACTAATATTTTCGCCCTCCCACCCATGACCCTGTTGCTTTTTGCTGACTGGTTGTGTTGGAACAATCGGGATTGTCTTCTGCTCCATGAATCTTTTCACTGTATCTGTGTCCCAGTAGGCCCCTTCACCTGTGGCGGATACATTCCAAGACTCTCATGGATGCCCAAGCCCATAGATAGTACCAAATCTTATATATACTATGTTTTTTCTTATATGTACATATCTGTGATAAAGTTTAATTTATAAATTAGGCATAGCAAGAGATTAACAACAATAAGTAGTAAGAAAATAGAACAATTATAACAATATACCGTAATAAAAGTTACACAAATGTGGTTTCTGTCTTTCTCAAAATAGCTTACTGTACTGCACTCACCCTTTTTGCGATGATGTGAGGTGATAAAATGCCTATGTGATGAGAGGAAGTGTGGGGAATGATGCACTCATTGTGACAGTGTTAGGCTACTCTTGACCTTCTGACAACTTCAGGAGGAGGATCATCTGCCTCTGGACTGTGGTTTACTGCGGGACTGCAGGTAGCTGAAACCCTGAAAAGTGAAACTGCAGATAAGGGGAGACTACTGGATATATCACTGAATAAAAAGGCAGCAGGGCATTTAAGGGTGATGTAAATTCCAGGATTCCAAGCAACTTTCAGAAACAAACAGGTTGTTTGGACAATGGGTGCCCTGTTACTATCAAGTTGAATTTTGCAAGCTCTATTGGCCTGCTTTCCCAGTGTCACTCGTAAATATGTTCTCATGAAAAATAAGTGCCAAATGGCCATTGGAACTGCCCGGGACGTGCGAGCTGTTGTTTTTTAGTGTTTCCTGACTGCCTCTCTCCCCCATTCACTTTTTTGCCAATGCATCTGCGTGTTCTGCTCTCCTAGCTCTCTCCCACCCGTTTCGCAATTCTTCATTTTCTTTCCATTGCTCAGAAAGGCATCGACAAGAGAAAGAAACCTTTTTAAACTAATAGCCTAGAGGCATTTAAACTTGCAAAAGCTACTCTTCTTTTTTTATTAAATGGTCATTTGTGTCAGAGATCCTATTTGTACGAAAAATAAAAATGAAGAGACATCTGCTTAGGATTAGTGCCTTTTTGATTTCTGCACCTTCATTTTCAAGATGATGCAGTTTTACTGTTCTCTGTTAGGGAGCTACTTTTCAATTGTCAGGTGACCAGACAGACTCGAGAATGCAGTTTGGCGCATGAATAAAACGGGCCGCAGTGTTCATTTGCAATTTTATTTTTTAAAAATGAAATATTCAAAGTACTTTTTTCTTTCAAATATCGACACATAATGTTGAACTTTAAATATTTACAGCACGTTGTTGTGATGCTCTTGTAGAAAAATGCATGCTTCTGGCCTGAAAGCCAGAGCAAAATGCAAAAGACCATTTAACTGCAGCCAGAGAACATGAACCTGTACAGTATCCAGTCACTTTTCAGCACAGGAGTGAGAGCAGGAATACAAAATTGGAACCTATTGTTTCCTAGCAACATGGCTCACGCCATTATAACACAATTTTCAGTATGATTAGAACCTCTAACTGTTGTTATATAGAAACTGAAAGTGCCATACACTGTAAACATCTTTACTGTTGATGAGAAAGTAAGCAGCTAAAAAGAATATTTTTCTGACGTAAAGGCTATACTTCTCTTTTTCACCTTCTTTCTTACCGATGCTTTTGCCAGAAGAAGAGTAAAGATTTAGACATTGTCATGATTCATACAAG